TTAACCAAAATAATTATTATTTCCATGTAAACCCGCTCCATGAAGAGCATAAGCGACATGACTAAGCAAATGTAGACACCGAGTTGCAGCAAAGGAACTATCAATGGTGCTTTGATCAACTCCCATATCAAACCGAGTTGGCTTGTGATATCATCTCGCTACACTTGAAACGACTCCGGAATCAGCAACTTTGGTGAAATATGATCCATCCCCGTAAAATTGCGTTTTCCCCTTAAAACAAAATATGGTCGAAAATGGCGCTTTCTTTAAAAAAAATGAAAGAAACCCTTGGTTTTTTAAAAGGAAATAAAACATGTGACGACCAATGTAGCTTACGTTTTAGTATAAAAAACGAAACAAAAATGGGGGCAATGAGAGAGAGAGAGGGGGGGGGGTTGTGGTTTTATAATGAAAATAAACCACGTATTTCTCTCATTGATATTAAAATAAACCATGTCATAACACTAATATATAGTGTTAACAGTAGAGTGACAAAAAATATATAAAATTTAATTATTAAATTAAAAACTTTTAAAATATGATAAGTAAAATAATAGAGAATAAAATTTAGTTACTATTTAACTTTGGCCTCAACAGTCAACACAGCATCCGAAGGACGTAAACATATTTGTACCAAACTATCAAGGACATTTCCGTCAATGGACATAAACCCAGAACAACCGCAACCGTTCTTTCTTATTCGTCTAAAGTCCAGAGAGAGTTCAAATGACGATGATATAAGCGCAAACACTGCCAATCTCATCGTCATTTGCTCACTGTTTGATATTTTTATTTTCTTTTTGAGATCTGAATTTGTTCGAAATAAAAGAAGAGCAATGGAAGAGCTGAGATCAGCTATGGAGGAGCACATGGATTTAATGGCGGATCTAGTTCAGAAGCTATCCTCGGAGCTTCGCTCGGGCCTACGGCCCTCCTATGATAACTTTATGGGGTTCTTCCATGCAATCGACTGGAAGGTTCGCCTCCTTTATTTTCTCTTTATTTATTAGTTTCTGATTCGTTCCCCGGAATTTCGAGTGAAGTTTAGCTCCAGGAGATGGGTGAAGAGAGATTTAGAGATTTTGAGTGTTTCATTGTTTTATCTTCAGCGTTTTCTCAGTAACCAAAGTGAATGTTAATAAATGTTAGTGTATTTGAGAATCACGAATTTTCATTTTAATCGGTGATTGGAACAATGCTAAATCCAAGTTTAAACTTGGAATAATGTCTTTGTGTAGTTCTTTATGTGATCTGTTCGGTTTATAGGCGGTTTCTTGAGTTTAGATCGTTCACAGCTCTATGTTGACGCTGATATTTGGTTAGCAAACTAAAGATGTCATGTCTGAGTTATGAGTTCAACTTGTGTTACTTGAGCATTTTTAATATGTTTGTTTTCGAACAGTTTTTTAGCTTTCATTGTATGCACGTGGTCAGTAATGGAAAGTACAAAACTCTTCAAATAGGATGCTTAAGGCCATTGACTTGCTGTTTAGCATCAAGTGTTAGACATAGTGTTTATAATCTATATGGAAACATCATCGTAGATTTTTCTAATAATGCTACAATACTTTCTATTGTGCTGTTAGAGAGAGGGCCGAGGGGGGCACAAATTTTGACTTGATCCTACTTGAGTTCTTGATCCACGTAACAACCATCAAGTCTTAGGCATGGTCTTTATTAATAATATGGAAACATCATCGTAGATTTTTTCTAATAATGCTACAATCCTCTCTATTGTGCTGTTAGAGAGAGGGGGTCACAAATTTTGACTTGATCCACCATCTATTGGTAACAATTCCCTAACCTTTTCCCCCTTTTGGCAGGAACCATGGTTAATATGCTTGCTTGGATTTCATGTTTTCTTACTGATAGTAACAATCTTGTCCAGGAAGAATAATAACTTCCAGATGTCTTTGTTCCTTCTGGCATGTAAGTTTCTTGTTTCTAAGTTATCTTCAATTATCATCAATATATGAGTATTTTGAACTCTCACCTTACTTATAGTAGTCCCTTATCAATCCCTTTTTTACTTGCTTTATTTAAATGTGAAGCTTCTCAAAGGAACTCTCTCTTGTGGTTGAATGATTGAGGACATAGGTACATTGCATGTTAATATATCATACTGTCCGTGCGGTCTGATTATAGTTAGCCCAATAGCTTGATTGTTAATCTTGGATATTGAATGGAACTTAGCAGCTCCACAATATTTAGAAGTACCAGCTTCTTTTAGTGAACGATGTTCCCTCAACTCGACCTTCAATTAGTAATGCAAGGCTATATAAGAACATTTACACTTTTGTCTTACTTAAAAAGGTGATATTGTTTCTTGCAATCTTAAACTCCAAAGGTGAGAAGGATACAAGCTGATGCTTCTATTTTATACATATACTTCATATAAGAGGGAGAGTGTGATAAGTTGCATATCTTACTAGTCCCAACAATGGTCAGTGCTTGAGATGCATAAATGATGAAACGATAGGCAGAAACAAATTGATTATGAAGCAAAAAGTAGTTGTTTCATTCTATAACTGGCTTAAATATATTAGAATTCCTGTTTTACGTCATAGAAATTTTAGCAATATTGCATGCCAAGCTGGCGATTTGGAAATAGAAGCCTAGTCTTTGAGAAGACATCAATGGAATGGATGATCTTTACCGGAAAGAATTTTGAATAGAATTTGGATAACGATGATAGATAACTTGATAAGTGAAACAACCCTGTCAATTTCCATATGCAAGGTTAGTGCACCTCGTTCCGTGTTTGTTCCTAGCATTTAGACTTCTAGGCTAGATAGTCAACTATATAGGGGGGACATAAAGTAGGGGATCCAAGATAGGACTTCCCATTTTGGAAATCTTTTTAAATTATGTACAATAAAGTCATTTGTAAAGTCAGATAAATGGGGGGGTGAAATGTAGTGTGGTCAAGAATATATTTATACCATGCTTGGAATCTGTGAAGTAGAAACACAGCTGAAACTTTGGGATGAAGGTCATCTTGCCATTGAAGGGGTTACAAGAGAAAATAGTTGAAATCATTAAATTTATAACTTCTGCTTTGTAGGTTACTAATCCTGTATATTTTTATTCACTTTTTGTATGGTTGTTGGGAATTTTGATTAAGAAGTCTTACTAAGTAGGACTCACCTGAGTAACCCAGCTGTAACTCAATATTGAAGCGTTTAAATGTTATCAAGCATTCCGAAACAGTGAGCAGGATTCTGATGAACGTCTGGACAATAGGACATAAGTATTGCTTTCTTTGTGACAGATTAGTCACTGCTGTGTTACATGCATCGCCAAAAATATCTGCAATGTAAAAATAATATTTTAGCTCAATTGTTTTGAATATTCTTTGCAATTGTAGCTTATTTGTTTGATTATGTCTTGTAGTGCTTGGTGTTTATTTTGCTGAGTCGCTGAATAGATTCCTTGGTGACAACTGGAAGGAATTTGCTAAACAAAACTATTTTGATCGGAGTGGACTTTTCTTGTCGGTACTCTGGTCTGGTCCCCTTCTCATTATTGCAATCATCATCTTGGTCAGTGTTCAGGATCTCTGTGCCCTCTTTAAACTTATTTTATATATATGTATGTATTTTCTTTCTAAACATCAACATCAGCTACTTTCTGCAGATAAATAGTCTCTTCTCAATGTGTTACCTAATAGTTAGATGGAAAAAGGCAGAGCTTAGACATCGTGCAAGGCTTGCTCGTAGCAAGCAGGATTGAAATTGTCAGGTGTTGCATTACTGCCACTTTCGGTGTGATAAGCATGAGCAATACTTCTTATGTTTCTTATTTTTGTTTTTTATTTCTTATATTGAAAGGTGTTTACCTCTTTTGAAATGTAGAATTGTTCCCTTGCATCTAGTTCTCCTTTCAGGATTCGGAAGTTAAATTTCCTTTTTCTATTTCAAGTTTTAAGTTTATTTTGTCTGTTGTGTCTGGTTATACTAAATTAAGGATATATTAGAAGGTTTTAGTTTTGGTATTGAGATGGTGGTAGGTAGGTTTGTTGAGGGAATATAGGCTGAGATAGATGACTTGGTGTTGGAATGTGGTAATTTGGATTTTGTTTAGGCGACGATTATGGCATCTCAAAATTCATTTCCTGTAAGAATGACTTGAATTTCAAAGCTTGAAACACGACTCAAGCTGCACGAACTTTACTTCTAAAGTTCAAGTTTGATTCGAGATAAAAATTGAATTTCTTGAATTTATTTGGTTAGCTTTTTTTCAACTTATTTACTTGGGGGAAAATGAGCTCGATTCGTCCCAAATTCGATTATTTATGCTTACATTTTTCCTAAACAACACAAGATGGTGACTGCTTAATTTTATCATGGTAATTGTGGGCGAGATGTTCTAAATATTTTCTAATCGTGGTGATTGGATGCTCCTAAGTCTTAATTTTCTTCAAACATATGAATTGGGAAGCCAAAATCACTTTCAATGAAAAATGTTGAGCTGCGTAAATCAAATGAACAAATTTTGTTTTAAAAAGAAAGCTGCATTGTGCATGTATGGCTTCAACATGGGTCATGGAGTTGGTGTTTGAGGATCTCACTGAAAATCATAAAGGCATAGTTCTAACAAAAGTAGGCATTGGGCCTTACTGAACAAAATAATATGTGCACTTAACTTTTGTCGTAAATTTTAATATTTTTATAATGTCATCAATTGATTGTAACAAAAATATTTTTAAAAAGGGTATTAAAATTATAAATTCAATTTAAAAGATAAAAAATATTTTATTACATATCAATCCAATTTAAAAAATAAAAATTTATTAATATTACAAGTATATTTTAGTTTATATATTTTTATATAATTTTTAAATAAGATAATTATAATTTATTTAAGAATTGAATATAATGTTAATAAATAAAATAATTATTTGCATCAGACGATAAAAGAACATACCTTATCTTAAGCCCAATTTGAAGCCGGCATGTGACTCAAAGCCGAAGCCCTTCAGTGGATAATGCGATAAAAACCCGCTCTTACATTCGTCTTTTCCTCAATACTATCTTTATCCCAATCAGAGAAAATGGCTTCAATGTCATCTCTAATATCACCACCATTTCCTACCAAACTCTCCTCCAAACCCCAATTAAAGCAATCCTCTCTCCAAATTCTCCAACCCAATTTGCCCCAAAATCTCATACTGAGTTCACGTCCAAGAAAATTAAGGTTGTACGTTGCGGCAGAAGAGCGAACCTCAACGGTGACATCCCCTTCTTCCGAGGCCGACAGGAGGCTTTACATTGGCAACATACCCAGAACTGTAAACAATGACCAGTTGAAAAAGATTGTCGAAGAACATGGCGCTGTGGAAAAAGCAGAGGTGCTTCCTTTTCTATCTATAATATCACATAATAATTTCGTATGGAAAATGAAAATGATTTTTGTATGGATGTAAAAAAAATCCTTTTTATGTTCTTTTTTTTTTTCCAGGTGATGTATGATAAGTACTCTGGAAGAAGCCGCCGATTTGCTTTTGTTACAATGAAAACCGTGGAGGATGCAAATGCGGCAATAGAGAAAATAAACGGAACTGTAAGCCCAAACAATATGCTTTTTGCTACGTTTGGTAGGGTTATTACTTTTTCAACATGTTTTAGTGCATGACTTAGCAACAGAATTTTTAAAAAGTTATGTAATAATCAAGCTTTTTCCTTGGATAATCAGGGATCGACCTAGGATTTTATGATAAGGAGATAATTTATAAAATTTTAGAGGTTGAATTTATAAAATTATTAATAGAAAATATAAAAAAAAACTTAAATTATACGAGAATTTGAAATTTTCAGCTCGCTCATTAACTAAATGTGATATTTTTGTTCTAAAATTATGATGAGACACAACATATAATGTTGGTATCTGGTTTTCATGGTGATATTCTTTTCTTTCCAGCAAATTGGAGGGCGGGAGATAAAGGTAAACATTACTGAAAAGCCTATTGCGCAAGTGGATTTGTCTGTCCTTCAGGCAGAGGATACCCAGTTTATTGACAGTCCGCACAAGGTTTATGTGGGAAACCTTGCCAAGACAGTAACTTCGGATACACTGAAGAATTTCTTTTCCGAGAAAGGGAAGGTGAAGAGCGCCAAGGTTTCACGAGTCCCAGGGACATCCAAATCAGGGGGATTTGGGTTTGTATCATTCTCTTCAGAAGAGGAAGTTGAAGCTGCTATCACGTCTTTTAACAATGCAGTAAGTCATTCTTCACTTTTGCCTTGTTTCTGCAATACCCTTGTTGTATGCATTGGTAAATGTTCATAAATTCTTCTTGGTATTAGGATTAATGAGATATTTATTTGCCATTTGCTGACAACCTTTAGAATAAGATGCCTTTTACTTTTGTATATCCATTTTGTTGTGAAATGTGTTTGCAGCTCTTTTATGTTTCCAGATGATTCATGAATGTATTAGGAAAACTGTTGATTTTCTGGTAGTTGCAATCTATGTTGCTCCGACTCCGCATTTTTATTAAAGTACCCTTTGTCCTACACCTATGTCCGGCAGTTATCCAGATGCGTTCAAACATATGAAAATCTTGGAAAAAATTGAACATATACGTGTCGGATTTGTGATTCGAGTCAAGTAACATAGATTTTGAATTCCTTTTAATGATCAAATGTTTTTGTTTCGTTTGATAGTCTCAATCTGTTAAAATATTTCTCTGCTGTTGCACTTTTGCAAATCTGCTATGCATGCATGTGTTAGTTTAGTTCAACTTATGGCCCAAAGAGATGCATGTAACAATTGGATGTCATATTCATATATGCTATGGGCTCTTTAGTTCGTGCTGTTTCTACTAGTAAGTTTCCTTGCTCTGATTCTTTACTTTTTCTTGAATTACCCGTGGTTGTGCTGATATGACTTTCAAAGATCTTCCCAAATGCCCGGAAGAACTTAAAAAAAATCTGGTCACACTCAGTGCTTGTATCGGATACTCATGCCTGAGTGTGAGTAACATAGGTTTATGGGGGAACGGGCGATGTGAAGATGTAAAGTATTACTGATATAAAACGGTTGGTTATTGCAGATGTTGGAGGGGCAACAAATTCGTGTAAACAAGGCGTAAAATGGGATGCAACGTCTTATCCGGTGTCCATTTCGAAACCATTGCAAAGTAGGGTGGTTGTTTGATTCTGTTGAATGGGCAAATGCCAAGTTGTTAGTGCCCCTGAGGTTGTTGTAATTAATTAAACGAGGCTGCAGCTTAGTTGTGGAGCTGGAGATAAACACATTTCATTTGGGAGGCTGATGCATCATCTTATTATAATATCTCATTTTCCCCTAAACCTTATGTTCTTCTGGTTCTCCCATCCAGGCTTTAGCAAAATGAATTTGAAATGTTTTTAAGAGAAAAATGACTACTGTTTTCATATATGGTAATAAGAGTTCATTAACGAATGATAATAATTTTTAACAGATGATATGAAAAATTGATTACAGTATAAAATATTAACCACATAATTTGATGGAAAAAAAATAAACATCTAAATAAATAATAATAATTTAAATATTTATTTTTAATTAAATTTAGTCTATTTATTAATCATTACTTATTGGCAGTTTTAGAATAATTTGTATTAATCTATTTATTTATTCTATCAAATTAAAATATAAAAAAGACTTTATTTATTTCTAATATATACTAATAAAAATATGTTTTTAAATACAATTAAGAAATATAATATTAGAAATTATTCCGAGTTTAAATATTTTAAATTTGAAATGTGATAAACTATGATTTAAATGGTTTATGATCCAAATAAAACTGTCAAATTTAAAGATGTAATCTTATTAAATTAAATTTGGGTAAATTACACGAGAGACAACTAAACTATGGTCAAAAAACAATGTGACTATCGAACTTTCAATTGAATCAATCAGACCACCCAACTATTTAATTGATTCAATCAAACCACCGGCCGTTAATTTTTAACAGAGGTGATGACGTGTCCGTTAATAAAATTTGCATCATTATATATTTGGTCCTTATTCTATCAATTTAGTCACTATTTTAATTCAATTAAATAAATTTAATTATCCAATTAGAACGTGACACGTGTCAATATATGATTAAAATGTTTTATTTATGAATTTTAAATTATTTAATTAAATAATTTTTCTATCCATGTGTCACCATCAATTGAAATGAAAATAAAAGGATAATCTTGTGCTCAAGGGATAATCAAACCAGGGTCTTATGGGAGGGATAGAACATACGCCCAAACCATTGGGCCAAAGGTCTCTAATGATTTAAAGCTACAACAATTTGTATTTGTCTTTTAAAGATTTATCAAGGATACAAAAATTAAAAAAATATTTTTTAAATAAATTATTAACGACTAATAATTTTCAAATAAATTTTGGTTCGATTAACTATTAAAGAAAAAATTCGGTTAATTCGGTTCGGTTAATCGAATCAAAATTTATTTGAAAATGATTAACCGAATCGAATTAACCGATTTTTTTAAAAATTATTAAGTGAATTAATCGAAGCAAAAAATCGGTTAATTCGGTTTGGTTAATCAAACCAAAATTTATTTGAAAATTATTAACCGAAACAAGTTAACCGGTTTTTTTTAAATTATTAAGTGAATTAATCGAAGCAAAAATTTGGTTAATTCGGTTCGATTAATCGAACCGAAAATTTTTTTAACCGATTTTTTTAAAAAAATTATTAACCGAATTTTGATTCGATTAACCAACTTTCCTAAAACTTACGAATTTGATCTCTATCTTATATAACTTTTCTCAATTTAACTATTCAAGTCCCTCTAATAATTATTTAAACTTTACACATCATCTTATACTTAATTTCTACTTTAATCCCTAATTTCTCCATATTTATAATTTAGTTCTTTAGCTTATATATTCCTCCAAATTTGATTCTAAATCCATAATATCATAATTTCAACCATAAGTTAATTTCTTTTAAATTTTCAATTCAACTTTTCTATTTTTGGGTCACACACGTAAACGCCTTTTGTCATTTGCATCTCATCTCACTTTACGTCCAAGACCTTGACTGTGACTTTCGCAAATCTCATCCCTAAAGTCCCATAAATGTATATGGTGTGGGTAAACAAATATTATCATAGTAACTGATTACAAACAGAGTAGTCTCTATCATACTGCTACATTCGATCCGAATCAAATTGTATATTGACATCGAAATCTAATATTTTATATTAAAAAATAAATTTAATATTTTTTTAAAAAAAATAAAATAAATTATTATAAAAATATAAATAATATGAGAATTTAAAATTTGTAAAAAGGACAGACCTGCTAGTCTCTTTTGTCCAGCCTGATTGGAGTGGTTAGTGATATAAGTTGTTGGGTTTGGGTGATTACAGATGAGTTAGTTACTTTGACAGAATCCTTCGGAAAGTGATAGCTTGGGGATTGGTGGCCTCACAGCTGGTTCAAAGATGACGTGGCTTCTCATTCAGTTGCTCCAGTGGCCTCTGGCATCTGCACTTCTAAATGTGGCTTCTCTAGTTATGTACAGATAAATAGTGGCCGAATAACATTTTTGACCCATTAACTTCATCGGTTTAGTTATTTTTACTTTTAAACTTTTATCGTATTCCTTTTAACCCTTATACTTCTATTCTTTTTCCAGATTAACCCAAATATAATGGAATAAGAACGTAAAACGACGACATCAATTGTTTTATAATTTTCTACCGTATCATTTTAAAAATAAAATAAAAAATAAAGGACTATCTATCCTCGTATACACATTTTATACTTTTCAAGACATCCAAAACATATCATTTACCAATTTTAATCGGTTAAGAGCTAAGTACAACATCAAGCACAAGAACATATAAACTAGCACTAAAATTCATTCCAAACTATAAAATCAAGTTTTTGAATGCTTTAGTCCATAGACATATCACTCTTTTTCTTTTGAAGATTATCCATTTTCCTTTAAAATTTCTAATCATTGTGTTTAACTATGAGTTTCATGAATTTACACATTCAAATTGGATATAAGTTTCATGAATTCTTACCCCTTTCAGATGAACTCAAACTCTAGCTTATCCAACATATCAAGTCCTTCCTTCGATTATTTAAAAATCAAATGGATACTTGGGTTTCGAAGAATGAAACTCACGGATGAAAATCCCTTTCTCATTTTGTTAAAGCCAATTGCAAAATTTTAATTCTCTGATTCATTCTTGATTCCAATGGCAATGAGGTAGAAAGAAATAACAATGGATTTCCATTTTTATTTCGGTTGGACAAGGATAGTGCACGAAGATGATGACATGTTCGTATTTCCTCCCCCTCTATATGCGGTTTAAGATGACACATATTTTGGATATTTGTCCCATTAGTACGCCGTCCTTTTCTTCAATCATTTACCAAATTTTAATTTTTTTTTTATTTTTTCAATTAAAACCTTAAATTGAGTCTATTCTATATCCAAATCTGTCTGACGTATTAAAATATTTAACACGGGACTCGTAACTCGAATTTTTTTTAATATTACATTGTCGAATATATAAATTCTGACATGGGGGTGTTACAAATTCTTTGGGAATAATAAGGAAATGTGTGTGTGTGTGTGTGGTTAATGGGAGCCTGAGAAATCTTGTAGTTTCGAAAAGGAAGTTTGGCGTGTATGGCACTACTCTTCAAGCCCAACACTTGGTTAGTTCCATAAGAACTTTCTAATCCATTTCACGTGCTGTGCTTGAGGCAATGTTGACTTTGGTTTATGAAGAAAAGTTTACAACATATATAGAAACACCCCATCTTATAGAATCATTTTTTTTTGTTTGGAAACCTACGGGGAAGGGTGTGCTCTACTCTGTATAACCAGACACCATGACCACTTGAAATTTTTATCAACAGAAAACAGAGAGAAAGAAAAGAACAGCCGAGGGATGCAAATTTACATTTATATCAGTTAAGGTGCCGAGACAAACAAAAAGCTTCTCCCTGCCCCCCCTCCGCCAACCTTCTCTCCAAACAGCAAGCTGTTAGCTGCCGGAGTAGTCTTTCGAGATAAGATTGTAGGCAGCCTTGCACGTCTTTCATTTTGGGATTTGTTGACAATATCATTGCATTAACCGTGTCTGCCACAACATCTCTACGCGACTCTTGGAGAAGATATCCAAATGAGGACTCCTGTGGACGTTCGTATGCCAGCAGGGCAACGCAGTCCTAACAAGAAAACCAACTCAAAATATTAGCTTCGGCTGCAAGGATCTGGTTTTAATTTTCTTAGTTGAAAGAGATACTAGATCAACCTAAGGACAGGAATTAAAGCATACCAGAAAGCTGTAAAAACCAGATAAGCAAGTTACACTGCATCTATGTATGTGTCAAGCAGGAATGTTCAATTTTTCGAATATGTTCAAGTATACATCGATCATCAGTTTTTCAAGAAAAAAAATGGAGTCGAAGCGAAAGTAACTCCAAATTGTCCAATCATGACATACACTAATGCTCAGAAATAAATGCAAGAAACTAGGCATGCACACCAGACCAGATGCTAGTCAAATTTGCCTAAAAACGAGTACAACAGGAAAAGGCAAGTCTTGAAACATAGTTCTTCAAACAATGCACCTAAATGAAAAACAAATTACATCAGCTTGTACTTGCAGTTACGGTGAACTAAAACATGTCCAGGTGTTAACATAAGCTAAAATAAAGCATATAAAAGGCACATCCCTAGTATAATCTAATACATTCTAGGAGCAAGAGCAATGGTCCAGATAGAAAGTTTTAAGAAAAGAATTCTCCTATGATTACCATCACTAAAGCATCAAATAAATTTTCCTCGGGCAACCCCAAAAATTTAGCTAATTCAATCCTTCCATGCTTGACAGCCTCTTCCAGTGCTCCAACCTACAAATAAATGTGCCATCTTTTTCGTCCACATCAGTAAAACAAAGAATAAACTAAACAGATATATAGTTTACCGCTATACAGTAAAAAACACACAAGGATAAACTGTTGTTCAGGAATCCATGTCCAAAGGTTATGCTATCATTGTTTTACAATAGGCCTGCAACTTCAGGATTCTTTGTGAAACCAGATCAAGAACGCAACGCAATGTTTTTATACAATTATGAATATACCATTCAAATTTATATTATAGGCATCTAAAACTATTCAACAACGGCAGAGAGGCCTCCTAAAATTAAGAAACCAGGGCACCCCATGCGTGTCAGATGAGAAGAAAAACTTTTATCACCAACTATATTTATCCTATCATGGGGTATTTACTGCACACAAGCATAAGAAACTTATCACATGAGGTCAACAACAGAACTGTTAGGCCGTGTTATGTCATTTGGTTTTGGAGCTTACGGCTCTTCAATTGTTGTCTGCATGGTAAGAACTGTTAATGTATTTTTTTTATAAGAATTTCAGGCCTTGTTAAAAACCTCCTTCTTGATTAAAGGTGCTTGTAGGTAAGCTCCTTAATCAGCGGAAGGAGAAAAAGATTGCCTTAGGAATAACCTCCTTCTTGTTAATGTATTGACTTTAATAGATTGATTTTATTTTATTTTTGTAGAATAACCAAACTATTTAATTATGGAATTTCTTGTAGCGTTCTATTCAGAATGTCTCCTAACCTACTGAAAACTAGAATATGTACTTGAATCAAATGGATGACTATGTACAACCACTAAACTATTTTCCATCAGATGTTAAAAACTGGGGGATCTGTGTTTTTTTTGGTAATCAGTTTTTTTTTTTTCTTTTGTAAAAAAAGAAAAGAAAAGATGTATTAACTAGAAAGAGGACAGAATATGTACCCGTATCAATTCAATAAATTTTTGGCAGTGAAGCAGAAAGCAAACAGCTGATTTGTCTTCCTGCATGTAACGTGTAAGTAGACAGAAATTATGCCTCAATCCAGAAAAGTCTAACTATATCAAGTAAATGGAAAAATGACCAAGCAGAAATAAAATCTTGCCTCAGCACAACTAAATCCACTCAACATTTTTCTTACAATTAAAACTTATGCGCAATTGAAAACAATCACGGAATTAGTAGCAAGCTACAAGACAACGTAAATCACAATTGCTGCGACTAATATCCAGGCAACCTTAAAGGCTTGAGGAAAGAACATAGGATTTTTAATGTAATCCTATTGAAAGTAGAATAATATGCAATTCTTCCCTCTTTTTTGTTATACGGATAGAATGCCATGGACATTAACATGTTTAGCAGTATTCCTGGGTACTGCCAGAGTTTATACATCATCTAATAGCAAATAAGCCTGTTCCAATTCCATCCCAAAATAAAAATGTTTTCTAATTTTTTTCCCCAACAGTCCCAATTCATTCACATCATTGTATAAATGTATTGCCAAATACCAATACAAGTAAATAACCTGCCATAATAGACGTACAAAGAGAAGGTGGGAGAAAGAGAGAGAATGAATGAAAGAATAATTAAGTAGAGGCAAATGCCAAGATGGGATGGGAATCAGGAATTTGCAAATGCAGGGATTGAACCCTAGACTTGCTGGAATCTAGTTCTAAGCCCCAGGTCTAGAATGCATGTCAGACCTGATATCAACAAGTGAAGCCCATCTTATTAAAAAACTTATAAATTCCATGCAGGTCAACTCAAGGTTCCAATGAGCATTAGATTTGATAAGAAAAAAATAAGAACAAACCGAAGCCAAAAATTGATAGAATCTGAATGGAAAAAACTTAGAGAGATGTCCTAACAGAACAAAAAGATTTTTTTCTAGAATAATGTTAAAAGAAAAACACATGCTTGCTTCACCAATGCGTACTAATTAACAACATAATTCAGTCCACTAAAGACAGTTGATTTATAGTATATAACAATAGTTGACAAATCATGTATACACCTGAACAATCTGGGGATACCAATCACGGAGTCTGTTCATAGCTGCATCAATCTCACCATTTCTGATTAGCTTCATTAGCAAGGAAAATAAAAAAAAAATCTTCAGTTTAACCAGAACAGCTACAATAACATGGATAACTCAAAGAAATAGGAAAGTATACAAGGAAGATTACACAAGTTTTCCGTGTAATAGGAAAGAAAATAAATCTATATCAGAAGAATCAAGGGAATAGCCCCTCCAGAGAAAAAAACATAACTGATAATGTTAATATAAAAATGTGAATCATCAAACCATACCTGCCGTACGGTCTTTCTCTGATTTAGCGCATACATGATATCCTGATCATCAAAACCATTTTCTTGAGCTATACAGATAGGAGGGATAGTGCTTTTACTAGCCAAATCAAATGAATTGAGTGTATCTTCATAGCCATAATGCAGCAAGTACGCACGAACAAGTCTGTTGAACAAGATTAAATATATATATATATATAAATTAGAATACAAATACACCATATTTATACAACTTATCTAGTGTGAAGGAACAATAAGTTCTCAGGTTGATTTTTACACCCACCCAAAAAGCAGCAGATAAAATGAACAGCTCCATAATGAAGAATTTATATTTTAAACTCAAGTTCGGGCCAAACACATGTAACTTGCATGCATAAGATTTTATTCTCTAGATTTAGTCTGACACATATATCTTCAAGTATTAATATTTTATCTTCTACTCATACCGCTTCTGGTGCTTCAAAACCCTTTCAGACTTCTTCAATGCCTTATTACACTGTGATGTAACATGAGGCAGAAGATAGACCAGTTATCAAGAACCAACAACATGCAGTTAATATTACCACCATTGCCTAGAGGACAAGTTTCTATTTTACAGAAACTGTTACATTATCAAAGCAGTAGCCTAGATTTAAATAATTCAGATACTTCTTTAACCACAAACATCAAATCATCCAATAGGTAACTGCAATGGACAGGCATGTAAAACAACAGAACAGAAAATACATAAAAGCAGAAGGAGAAAAAAAAATACCCATAACTAATATTTGGAGGTAGAGGCATATTTTCAATAGTCATCTGCTGCTTCAACCTTTCTTGAGCTTCATATTCCTGATATATAGCATCAAAGATGATAAACAGGAAGATACAGAAAAGAAACATTTAAGAAACCAGTTAAAATGACAGACTGAGGGAACCATGGTTTACTAAGATTAATTAGACTATTTACAAGCAGAAAAAGGAAGCATAACTTGCCTTCAGATCAAAAGAAAACTTCTTTTGCCCAAAGTTGACATGAACCCTGCACATTTTGAAATAAATAAAAAAGCTCATTAGAAAAACTTGAAATATCATAATTGCATGATGATGAAACTATGTAATAAATATCAATGCAAGTAGTAAGGAAAAACCAAAGTAGATAAGATATATCGTAATTGCATTTTAGGTGTTTTTAACAACCAAAGCAGCATATCAGAAAGGCCAACCTAGTAGCATACCGAATGAGAAGAGTTTGTTTAATTTTTCAAATAACAGAATCACTATAAGCATCATTTGCAAATTGCATATAAAAGTCACATCCATAACACATACTTCTGCCACTTTTGCATTAATCACAAAATTTCCCCTCGGACATATAGCCTAATTTTAACATTCCAAAGCCAAGTTTTTTGAAAATATACATGACATTATTAACGGAGTAGGACAATATTGTGTTATATTTGATTTAAACATAGCGCACCAATTGCCCAAGGATAGGGCTGTAAACTAGCTTAGCAGAGTCTGGCAAAAGCCTACTACACTTCAGCTTGATAATTTATTAACTTGCTCAAGCCACATTTAAGCTCTGTTCAGATCTGAAAATTTTATATTGAAGCCATATAAACCGACTCTGGCACTGTCACTATCATGAAATAAGTTTGAATAACCTCAGGCAACTTTTAGCTTATTTTACCCCTTAAAGTAATTTTACAAGGCCAAAAATGGCAGGAAAAAAGGTGTCATAACTAACCCATCACTTCTCATTCATTATAGACAAACCTCAATGTATCAATTAAATGCAACTGAAGAGGAAGGAATAGAGAGAAATGGCATATCCATTATTCCTATATTTCGCCAAATGCAAATATGGGTAAGTTATAACAACATATAGATGAGAGAATTCATATAAATACACAATAAAAGAAGGTAAACATACTCCTCATTTTGGCTGTGGACAGCAATGGTGGGAAACAAGCAACGGTTCATTTCCTTTTCCTTGCTAAAAGTTCCTACTATTGCCCCATTTTTACTGGCATCAACATATGAGCATAAAGAATCATGAGAATCTTCAGAAATGAACAGAACTTCACATGTAAGCAGCATAGACATTTGAGCCACAAGTGCTCCTAAATACAGTGCTTGATGAACAACTGCACTTACGTGAAAAAGAATTCCTGTGAAGCAAAGTTTATGCCGCCACCAACCGTATCACCTGTTGTATATGTTGGACCAAAAGCATCTCCCTTTGCTTGCCCACGATAGAGCCTACCATCATCCCCATGATACCCGCAACTGTTTACTTCCCACCTGACACAGTTAAGGATACTTTGAACTTAGTGTGTACATATAAGAATTTACGAAAAATAAAATTTTTCTTATATGTATTACATAATTAAAAGCTTTCATCTTGATTATATTTCTTTCATTCTTTAAAAATCTTGTGTTTCCCACAATATTAAAAGAGAGAATTCATTCCTTTCTCCCCCCCCCCCAATGCACACACATTCCCAATCACTAAAAGGAGATTCATTTATCTAAATATTCTGGATCTCTCACTAAAACAAGACATAAGCGTAATTTAACTGAATTACCAAAAATAGGGACCCTCAACACAAGATCATTTCTTTGACATAGGAGAAGATTTGCTTCTCTCAATATCCAGAATCTCTCATCAAAACTAGTCATAGAATCAGTTGAACTGAATGAACAACAGGCAGAACACAAGATCAGTTCTCTTTCACTTCAACTAAGAGCAACTCCCTTTCCTCTTTTTCCAGACTGGATTTAATCTTCTTATGCATTGTTTTCCATTATCAAGCAGCTATAAACGATCATACATAATGATAAAACTAGAAAACATCAAATGAAATTAATTCTCACTCTATCCTTGCTTTTCTTTTTCTCTTTTGCTCCTTTGTTAACTAACTGAAAAGCGCTCGGTTATTTTTCTCTCTTGCTTTTCTTTTTTTTTTCTTCTTAATTTCCAGTTTTTCCCCAATTCATCAAACAAATGCAAACTATTTCAAATGAAAAGTACTCCAATTAAAACTGGTTTTCAACAACAGTATCTTGAAACAGAGAAGAAGAAAAAAGCCAGAGATTACCCCGGTTGCCTGCGCATCTTGAAGCCTTCACTGGTGAATCCAATAGCAATTTGACCCTTGACTCCAGCGTCCTTCACATAAATCTCGAAGTAATAAACCAGACGCTTTACAGGAACCGGGTTATTGGCTTGAACCACACCGACATCATGGCCATGGAGGCTTACGGCAGTATACTTCACCGACAACTTATCAGGCGCCACCACCAAGAACCCTGCCGAGCTATTAATCGTATTGAGCTCAGTCGGTACCACCTCCTCATCCTCTTCCATCTCTACCGGAGCCTTAGACGAGCCGATCCGAGCCAGCTCCAAGAAGTATAAACCGAGATCTTGGCTTAAGCTATCGAAACTGTTGTTGTTTCCGTTGTTGCTCTGGCTGGAGTTCATTTTTACCAAAGATTAAGAAAAAGGAAAGTCCAAAATTTCGTTTTAAGTTATCCTTTTGTTCCTTTGGGGGTTTTTTAAAGTTTCGGTCTTTCCTGGAAAAATGATTTTCAGACGGAAGGAAAACTATGGGGGCGTTTTATTTGGTCTAATAAAACATTTGGCCTCTAAACTATATTCATTTTATTAAATTGTTCTTCAAAGTTTTTTTTATAAAACCAGTAGTCTCTAATATTAATTTAATTATTATATAATCCCAAATCATTAATGTCCGCAAAGAAAAAAAATCAATCAAAACGCATTAAGACACTTTTGATAAAAAAAATACATACTTTTAATAAATAAAAAAAGTAAATAGTATTTTAAATTATTTAAAACTTTAATCAATTTAATCTCTAAAAATATTATTAATTTTAAATAAATCTTCATTTATTTATAAATATTAAATTTCAATTTAAAATGTATTATTATTTTAATATTATGTATTTTATTATTTTTATTTACATGTTTTAAAGTTAAATGGACTCATAATTCTAAAAAAGTTTGAGTGACAATTTGATAAAATAAACATATTTTAACAGATAATTGGTTCATGAAACCTTTTATTTTCTTAATTTTATTCATGTATTACGAATTTTGAATCGTTTTGGAGTTGTATTTTCATTTATTTTTAGTTTTATTAATTGATTAAAAAATATTGATAAAATTAAAAATTGATCGATGACAATTAATTTTTTTTTGTTAAAAATGAAATTTAAAGAAAAAGATTTTATATATTTAACCCACTTTCTGGTACTATTTAATTTTTTATTAATTCTTATCGATTTTTTTAATTTTCTGATCCAAATTAAATTGTTAAACTATCTGATTAATTAAATTTTAGTTTAATAAGTTAAACCAATTTATTTAATTTCTTAATGTCCAATTTTATTGTATTACACCTTTCTCTTTGCTTGTTGAGGGAGGAAAGGATTTTCTTTATTTTACCTTTCTCTTTGTTTAATGAGAGAGAGAGAGAGAGATATTTTCTACATTAGTTTTAAATTATATATTTTAATTTTATAAATAATTAATAAAATTAAGGATTTTATTTTTCTTTGCTTTTTTTTAAAAAGGAGCAATGTGTCGGCACATTGACTTGGTGACGAAGATGGTGGAAGGTCACAGAAGTGAAGGTGCACCCCAAACAACGAATAGCAGCGAGGAACACACCACCAAGTGAGAATTTTGGTTGCGATGAGAGTGCTCGGAGTACAACCGACCTTGAATCCCCTTCAACAACGAGAGACCGGAAAGCCCTGCATGCTGTAAAACGCAAGGAGGTAAAACATGCTTGAGCCTCAAGCGTGAAAGCATCTGCAACATGATAACGGCCTGAACAATCATGGATGGATCACAAAACCAATACCACCAGTACCAGTCAGGGGATTAAAAGCCCCATCAAAATCTATCTTGACACAAGCAGGAGGTTGGCACTGTTCAAAAGATAAGAGCACGAGGGGTGTAAACAGGCTGACAATGGACACATGATTTTCCGAATCTACGAACTTCGGTCCCACTAAATGCACCAAAGAAGCACCAAGAACTGGGTTTGTTGTGGAGGTGATAAAGACGACCGATACATCAGAAGCTAGTTCCAAAACTAATGGCAATACAAGTTTTAGTGTCGGTCTCCATAATCAATGCACTACAAAAAAAAAAAAGACAAGCATCAGAAAACATCAAATGATGTAAAGTAGGGCCATTACGACTAATTTGGACCACATGTAAATTGCCAAAATCAGAATGAGCTTGATGGCGAAATAAATTGAAAAGGCCCTCGATACAGATGAGAAATGGGTATGATGACAGCGGATTGCCCCTACATAAACCATGAGATGACTGAAATACATCAGTCGAGTTCCCATTAACCAAAGTCAAATATTGTACCATAGTGACACACAACAAACCAAATGAACCCAGTTCAAATGAAATCCCAGATGAAGCATCATACTTTCTAAGAACGGCCATCCAACTCGATCGTACCCTTTGATCATATTGAATTTTAAAGCAAAGGAATTATGATTACCCGTTTGTTTCGTACAGAGATAAAGAAAGACTATGAAGCTATCAAAACATTATCCGTGACTAGGGATAAAGATACGAAAACCTTGAACATTACGGCTCGGGGCTCGGGGTGATCTCATTGAAAGTAGAATAATATGCAATTCTTCCCTTTTTTTGTTCTAGGGATAGAATGCCATGGACATTAACATGTTTAGCTGTATTCCTGGGCAAACTTCCAGAGTTTATACATCCCTTAATAGCAAATAAGCCTGTTTCAATTCCACACCAACATAGGAGTGTTTTCTAAAATTTTCCCCATCGGACCCAATTCATTCACATCAGTGTATAAATGTATTGCCAAATACCAAAAAAAAAATCTGCCGCAACAGATGTACTAAGAGGAGGGGAAAGAGAGAGAATGAATGAAAATAATAATTAAAGTAGGGGAAAATGTAGAGCGTAAACGTTTAATGTTAGAGGTTGAGAGTTATTTTTATTACAATTATTAAAAAAAACAGATGTCATTAGCATCTCGAACCACATCGTGAATCCAATAGCAATTTGTCCTCCCTTTGACTCCAGCATCCTTCACATAAATCTCGAAGTAATGAACCAGACGCTTTACTGGAACCGGGTTATCGGCTTGAACCACATCGACATCATGGCCATAGAGGCTTAAGCCCGTATACTTCACCGACAACTTATCAAGCGCCACCACCAAGAACCCTGTCGAGCTCAGTCGGTACCACCTCCCCATCCTCTTCCATCTCCACCGGAGCCTTAGACGAGCCGATCCGAGCCAGCTTCAAGAAGTATTAACCAAGAGGAATAACAATGGGATTTTTTAAAGGTTCGGTCTTTCTTGAAAAATGATTTCCAGACGGAAGGAAAACTATGGGTAATAATATTTTGGTCTAATGACACATTTGTCCCCCTTTACTAAATTTAAATACGCAAAACATTAAGCAATTTAGTAAAAATTTGAACATTTTTATGATATATCGAAGGCATTCACTACAGCAAAATTGTTATACAGCGGCGTTTTTAGCGGCGTTTTGAGAGTAAACGCCACTAACTTTAAACATATAACGGCGTTTACACTTCAAACGCCACAAAATAGTAACTTTAGCGGCGTTTTTATACAAAACGCCGCAACAGAGTAGTATTTTAGTGGTGTTTTTATACAAACGCCGCAATAGGTTCATCCATAGTGGCGTTTTTTAAACAAACGCCGTGACATAGTAGTACTTTAGCGGCGTTTTAATAAAAACGCCGCAATAGGGTTCATATATTATGGCATTTTCAATAAACGCCGCAACAGAGTAGTACTTTAGCGGCGTTTTTTATACAAACACCGCAAAAGAGTAGTACTTTAGCGGCGTTTTTATACAAAAGCCGCTATAGACACATACTTTAGTGGCGTTTTTATTCAAACGCCGCTATAAATACGTTCTTTAGCGGCATTTTTATACAAACGCCGCTATAGACTCGTACTTTAGTGGCGTTTGTGTTTACAAATGCTGCTAAAGTTTAAAGTTTACAATTCCCGCATCCTTTTTCATGTTTTCCCTTTCACCTATTTTTTTCATTCTGGCTCCCTCCCTTTCTGAAAAATAAAAATGTTCTATCTTCTCTCTTCCCTCTCTACTTCACCACCACTTAATTCAAATTTCTTGTTTCACCACCACTACACCTCTCTTAGCGCTCTGCCTCCAGTGCCACTGCTCTGGGTTGCTCCCAATACATTTAGACCAAAAGTAAAACGAGATATAAGTCCAGAGGGAACCGTTGAATATGTCAAAAAGGTGAACCTTTCCATTAATCCGTTTATTTTCCTCTCTTGTTCTGTTATCTTTGTTCCTTTACACTAAAATAAATTAGATCCATTCTTATGATTTGCAGATCTTTGATTTTGATTATTTCATTCAAGATATTTGCGAGCGAGATTGCAGTTGTGCAGGCAAAAGGAGATGAAGACGAGCTTCGATGATGGCCAAATAAGTTAGGCAATGCCTGGCTCCAGGAGTGTTTAGAGCAGAAACTCTGGAAAAAGGAGGTATATATATATATTAGATTTGTTTGTTTATGGGATTTGATGATATCAGCTTAATAGTTTACTGCAAAAAAATTTGCTTCTTCCCAGTTCCCACCACCTTTGTCCTCACTAGGGAAAAGATTCAAAAGCGTATTTGATTAATTACTTGATGAAAACAGAAGTTTTGTGGACATTCTTCCAACTTCCAAGTGGATTTTATCAGTAGATCGTTGAAAATTGGAACTACAGTCCGGGACTTCAAATGCGTAAGAGAGATGGTGTTGGAAACATGTCAGATTATTGGTATTGCCATTTGCCACTGCCCACTGCCATTGTTTTGTGATGATAGCCATTCGCAGTAATCATCCATCATCTCTTGTTGGTGGACCATCCACCAGAGACGCATTCTCTCTGATCAATTTGAAGACCATCCAGTCCCACCTATTCGTCATCCCGTTCAATAATACACGTAACCCATAAATTTTCCTCATCTAAATTTGCTTCTTAAGTCATGAAAAGGACAATTCAAGTGTCTAAAAAGTTATGGATATCTGTGTGCCTCCATCACTTTCCAAGCTTTAGGTACTCGATATATATATTAATGGCATATACCCATAGTTTCTTTCAGCTGAGTTCTTTATTGCCTTAATTCTAAGCCTAACTGATACGAAAAGTTTGGCCCACTGGTTATCAACTCTTCCAATGATAAACAATATACCCTTGTTATCGGTTACTAAAAGTTACTAATTTTGGAAAATCCTTAGTCTGTTCTTCATTAAAGAGAAATAAAGCGTTAAGCGAAGAACATAGCAGTACTATGTCTTTATCATGCATATTGCAATCAATTTTCCTTTTGCTTGTTGTGGCTTCAATGTTTCAATCAGTTAAAAATGGGGTTCTTCTCTTGTTTTGGCTTGTAGGTCTTATTAAACTCTTATAATTTATATATACAGACACGCAAACACATCTTAGACGAGTTCTCTAGGTTTTGTTAAGCTTTTAGAATTTATACATACATCTTAGACATGTTCTTACTGTTTCTCTTGGAGTCAGTTTCATAGCAGAAAAATCTTTCAGGTTTTCTTTTTGGGTTCAAACTTTCAAGGGTTTTATAGTAAATAGTCGTGTAGCAAGTATTATATGTGGAACTTTGTAACAAGTCGGTATTGGAACTTGAGCCTTTAGCTTTGTCTGCTTCTCCAATCTCTAGTCAGTTAAATTAAGCTCCCTTCACTTCTCCCCCGTGAGTATGAGACTGCATCATCCGTTGCCAATCATTTCTTGTTGTCTGCTTAGGTCATGGGCACTATCTCTCCAATTTGTATGGCAGTTCCTTATTCAGTTTTTGAACATTATATACTTACAAATTCTGTTATTATTAATATGATTTTTTTTAGGTTAATTTGATTCTTTATTCTTAATGAGTATGTCTTTATAGTTATTTATATAACTTTGATATTGAACGCTATTGAGAGGTGTCAATAAAAAAACTTTAAACATGCGCAATTGGGTTGTTCAATATTTCATGTTGAGAGTGTATTAACAGGCTAGCTTACAGAATATACATTGTGGTAGGGTAATTGGGTAAAGGGTGGATCTTTTCAATTTGACTTTTGCGATACTTTAGTTGAATAGCTGTGAAAGAATGGTCAATGATCAATAGCAAAACTAAATTAACTTCAGTCCTTAGTTCCTTGTGTTGATTAAAATGCATGCTGCTTACAAAACTCGGTGCATAAATTTAATTTAAGCTTCTCACTGGATTTTCTAATTCCGCTGATTGATTTGTGTCAGGTGTTCCATTTATACTAAAGGCAGGGAAAGCTTTGAATTCAAGAAAGGCGGAGATACACATTCAATTTAAGGAGGTTCTTGGGGATATATTCCAATGTATGACAGTAGATCTATAAGATTATTTGGAACTTCATTTATATGATTGCTTGTTTCAGTAGAGCTGCAACTCTTTTGAAGTATTCTGACATTTTATTTAGGTCAAAAGCAAGGAAGAAATGAGTTTATCATACGCTTGCAACCTTATGAAGCGATGTACATGAAACTAACAGTGAGTTCGCTTAACTCATCGTATCCATCTGAAAGCTATTAGAGCTATAATTTCCATGTATGCAGAGTTTCCTGCTTGTAGAGTTTCCTTTATGCATCAAGAGAAATCAATAAGTTCAGCTATTTCTATCCTAAATTTGAACATAATATATTTCAGAGCCAACAGTTACCTTTTCACATAATCATACATCTTCAGTTGTCGATCGTACATATGTTCCGATTCTCCTTGTGGAATCCTTTAGGCACTGTTGAGAACCAATCCTGAATACTTGATGTCCCTTCTTCATTTTATCATATTTTAGAAACATCCATATCGATGTTCTAGATTTTACTGATATTCGAAGTGGTGTTCTATGAAAACTGCTCATGCAGCCAACCATGAGTGTCAGGATCCTGCGTTTTTAGTTTAAGCTAGGAAACCGTTGCTATAATTTATTGCAAGATCTTTATGCATGTATGCTGATTTGCATTTTGCTTATGTTGTAGGTGAAGCAGGCTGGTCTGGAGTTCTCAACGGTGCAAAGTGAACTGGATTTTTCATACAGGCAACACTATCAAGGTGTTACGATCTCAGAAGCTTATGAACGTCTTATTCTTGACACGTACGATCCTTGCCTTTCCTGGTCATCGAAATATTCTTATTCATAATCCTTTAATCTTCCTGCTTGAAACGAAATGCATCATTTTCATCTGAGCTTCAAACAATAGGGTTTAAGGTGCTGAAGTGATGATCGATGGAATCTGTTTATCGTTATGCAGGATAAGGGGTGATCAACAGCATTTTGTACGTAGAGACGAGTTAAAGGTAAGAATTTGTGATATGTATGCTTGGGATGTTTAACCATTTGCGACCATTTTCATACTTGTGTTGGGATGTTGGTTGTATTTGATATGTTTAACCATCAGTTGAAGCTCTCTGTTATATGCATGTGAGCTTATTTGCAACTATTTGGTTTATATCTACCTGTAAATATTTGTTCCCTGTTATTATTGTATTTTACGTTTTCAACTTTGTTTTGACATGGCAACTCTCTTTTCTTGTGTTATAACTTTAATAATTCAATCAATATATCTTTGACAGATACACCCAGTTATGCTAGATGTTGGTACTAACAATCTAAAGCTAATTAACAACCCACTTTGTGAGTAAAAAATGTATTTAATTACTTTGTTCTTATGTAGTTATTCCCTGCATAGACTGGAACATATGAAATGCTTTCTGTTACCTTTTTTAACAGATTGTTAAGATTTCTTTTGACTTTTTTTTGGGTTTGTACAGATTTAGGACTAAGACAACCTAGGTTAGAAGGGGAAAAGTATCTATCAATTATTGATCAGTTCATTGAAGCAGTTTTAACACGTTGGCCTAAGGCTATTATACAGGTTTCTTTCTTTCAGAAGTGAGGTTTTTATTTTATGCTTGTAGCGTGATGTTTATTTAATGGCTTCCCCATTCAGGATTCCACATCATAATCACTGTGTAGGAAGGCCATTTTAATCTAGGAAGACTTAGTTTAGATTTCTGGAATGATTTAATTGCTTAGGTATCCTATGCTTTGGCCTGCTCTGAATAGTACTCACAGTTTTGCATCAAAAATTGTGGGTTGATATCGAAAGTTATGGCGTTTAATTTGTATTTTCTCAAACTTGTTCTTTTACCTTACAGTGTTAAATTTTGTTCACAGACACCATATTTGCTTATGGCGTGACAAGCAGTGGGAAGACTCATACGATGCATGTAAGAAACAATTTGATACTTCGTTATCTGTTTCAAGTGAAGTATTGAAGCGCGCAAGGAGTCTTCTTGGTGAACCGGAGCCAGGGGATTTATTTGGTGAATTTCTAGTGAATAGTATTTTTTTAATTGAAAGTGAAAGTAGCTAGACTAAATTCTAAAGAACAATATTAAACTACATTACTTTTAATTTTAATGTTTATAAATTTTAATTTATTTTGTTTAAATTTATGGTTGATGTCAATTAGATAAAGCTACATGATAATAAATTTAGGTGATGTAGAGAAGAAATGAAATATGCAAAATATAAATTAATCTTAGAACAAGAACGATAATTAGCGGCGTTTGCATCCAAAAACGCCGCTATAGATCTGAAATTTTACGGCGTTTATTCCAAAAACGCCGCTATAAATCTGACCTTTTGCAGCGTTTTCTCCAAAAACGCCGCTATAGATCTGACATTTTGCGGCGTTTTCATAGAAAATGCCGTTATAGATCTCGACCTATTGCGGCGTTTGTTCCGAAAAACGCCGCTATAGAGCCGACCTGTTGCGGCGTTTTCTAAAAAAACGCCGCTATAGATTTAGACCGATTGCGGCATTTTTTTTCCACAAACGCCGCTAACTTTAGCGACGCTAGTATTGCCGGCGCTTCTTACGGCGTTTTTGCTATCGCCGCGTGTGCTTTTAGCGGCGCTTAAAAACACCGCTATAATACTTAAAAAACGCCGCTAAAGAACATTTTTGTTGTAGTGATTCCATCCTTAATAATCAACATCATGTGCCAGTGCCACCCTCCCATTTCAATTAATTTTTCCTACTTTACTAAATTAAAGAATTCTCACTACTTTCATCTCATTTCAATTGTCTGCTTTTCCCACTAATTCAACAAATACTATCTACACTAAAAAAACCTGCGAACCCTAATTTTAATTTCATTTTCTTCAGTCTTATTTAGTTATTATCTGTCTCCTAGCACAGCATCATATAAATGGCCATCAGCATTTCAAAAACTGAAAATGAAAAAAAAGGATAAAGAAAGAAAATGATCGTGGGTTGGGCCATGCCAATGCTGGTTCCATGGGCTATCCTCTAATTTTCCTCGTTATTGTAATTGTTATTGTAATGCTATTACATTTTAAACAATACGATCTTATTAGGTTGCAAACAATAAAAACAAGAACCTATTGTTGTAAAATTAAGTCCTAAGAATCGTCCTTATAATATAATTTTAAAATATCTTATTCAATGGATTAAACTTTCCGCTGGCTCCATAAAAATCAGTGTAGATGGTTGCAACTACAAGAGAGGTGTGGTGGCAGGCGATCAGTATGGTCATGTAATAGCAAATCATGCACGTAAACTCACTAATTGTTTTGATCCAAGCATAGCCGAAGCGGTCGCATTTACAACATGTCTTCAATTAGCGATGGAAAATAGTTAGGTCGATGCAGTAATAGAAGGTGATGTTGTTGTCGTGGTGAATAATTAAACAATTCCAAAGACGATCTGTCATTACTAGATGTTTATATTAGAGAAGTTCGTGAAATACTAGCTTGCAACAACAATTTTAAAATTAAATTTGTCCGTCGAGGAGTCAATAGAGAAGCTCACGGTCTTACACAATTTAATTTAAGTCATAATTTATTTTATACTGAATATTAATTCCCGAATTGTATTTTGAATATTGTATTGAACGAAGGTATATCTAGCTAAATCAATACTATTATCCTATTTTTAAAAAAATTTATCTAATTTTAATTAATTAATCAGTAGATTAAATATCAGACCTAAATATTGTTTTATATTAAGTAACGAAACAGTTTCATGCCAAATCAAACATGTCCGTATTTATAATTGTTTCAGTTATACTCCAAAAGCAATCGCACAATAAAGTAAAGAGTTTTACATCACACCAACTTCAGAATAGTTGTAAATGCATGTTTTTTTTTATTTAACTTCATATAATATACTAATCATATATTGGAAACACCATTTCCCATATTTGTTTTCTCCAACCCTCTCTTGCTACCTGCAAACATCATATTATTTATTAGTCCCATCAAATGTTTTAGGGTTAAAATAAAATCAACACATATTTATACTTCGAATATAATATATATATATATATATATATATATATATATATATACATATTATATAGATTTTTATACATTTGTTTATCTTTCTATATTAAATTTTTATTTTATGTTTATATTATATGATCATGTCGTGTTAGATAATATGAAATCGTGAGAATATCAGTGTATACCCAAGATGGAGAATCTTCTTGTCGGAGTAAGCAGTTGGAGGCTCCATCACATTGGGGCTAAAGAAATTGCGAGAAGCTAAAGCTTGAATGGCATTAAGCTCGGGTCCAGTAACCATGTTGCCTGCTGAAACCTCTCTACTTCTGCAATCTGAACGTTATAATAATCATGAAATCCAATAATATAAATTTTATATTCGATTTCAAACTTAAGTTTAATTCGAATATAAAAAACCATAATAAAAAATGACTCCGATTCAAAATAATCCGAACCTGTCCACCCTACCGTTTTACAGCTACTTATCATCTCATATCGTAGTCAGTCCTCAGTAATAGTAAAACAATGCATGGAACAAAAGAAACACATTGTTCATGTGTTGGATGTGATACGTGTTTAATGTTTTACCTTGGTTCGGAGACAAACGCTTTCGTTTTCCAGTTCAATTTCCTATGAGATAATATACGGCAATTAATAAGAAATTAAATTAAGTTATTATAAATTGTGATAATTTGAAATTAGGTTACAAGTAATTCACCCTTTTTTGCAAATACTCTATTTCAGCTAGCAGCATTTCGTGCTGTTGCAGCAAACAGAAGAGGAAAAAACAAAATAAAATAATGTGGAAAAGGCAAATAAATAAAGGAAAATGATGAAATGAAATTGAAGTTACCTTCTTGGACCTGATCCTAGTAATTCCTCGTTCAAGCCTGTTTTCGACCTGCTTTAACTCTTTCACAGTTAAGGTACTCAAGGAATCTCCCATTAGGTGCCTTCAAAAGCAACGGTGGACGTTTGTGTGGGATGGGAGAAATGTTAGAATCGGATGCCGCTATTTGTAGTTATTGATTGGTTATGTAAAGCTTGATTGATTTTTGTGGTTTGTAGTAAGTTGTATTGTTTCGAGGATAATGTTTATTATCGTACGATCATAATGTTTCATTATATTTTGCTTCCTTCTGCATTGGGGTGTAATATGCTTCTTGTTATTGTTTCTAAATCTTTTTTGAGACAACTTTTGGTAATATTTTGGCCATTGGTCAATATTATTTATATTAATAAAATTTTATTTTGCTGCGCTAAAAAAATCTTTTAATTCAATCCCAAATGTTTATTTGTTCATAAAAATTACCTGCTGCTGTTCTGCAACATTTGAATCTGCTGTCTCAACTTGGCTGATTCTTGCTGATAATACTACAGATTGCATATTTCCAGTTAATAAATCAATATAGAGCAAAAAAACCAACAAATTATGATGTATGAAATACCTGAGCATTGATTTCAGTAACAGTGTTTGTGTTAGAAGTATCTGAACAAGCCTTCTTGTACCTCTCTATTGTTGACCTTATGCTGCATCAAACAAAATATTAAAGAAGGGGAAAAGAAATTGGTTTCTAGGGTTATGAATATTTTATTTTCTGTTCAGAAAAGCTTTTTTTTTTATAAAAAAAAAGAATGGAAATATAATAGTTTTACAACTGTGGACACACTGAAGTCTACTGATAATCTTTAAGCCATATTAGGAAAATAGCTTCTGACAATCACTCAAACACCCAAAATTCCCAGCGACTTTAACTTAAGATTTGCCTGACTTTCTTCTTTCAGCTCAGAACAAAATACCATTGCCCCATTCATCGATGTTTCTCAAAGCATTTTTAATATCAAAATTTGTTTCAAAACCATGTGATTAACAGTGTATGTACTCCGTATTGTGTGACATGAAAAAAGAAGAAACAAAACCCAGAATCCAGAAATTCATACCAATGAAAAGAATGATAAAACAGTAGCATGAAAATGGCAATTCAGAATTGAGAAAAGAGAACATATATTACTTGTTGTTGGAGTACTCGTAGAGGCGGCCTCGGGTGGAGAAGACAATGAGAGCAACTTCAGCGTCACAAAGGACTGAAAGTTCGTAAGCTTTCTTGAGCAGTCCATTCCTGCGTTTGCAGAAGGTAACCTGACGATTTGTGGTGTTTTCGATCCTCTTGATCTCGATCTTTCCTCTTCCCATTCTTCAAACTTAAACACTTCACTTCTACCTTCAAACTGTACCTTCTGGCTGTTTAGATTACGTGCCTTTTGTATGAATCGAACAGTGATGAAAAAGGGAAAATGGTTTTTAGATGAAGAAAATCGAGAGAAAAAGCAGATCCATTGTTCGAGACGTGAAAAAGAGTAATTAATAGGAAGAAGGAAGGGCATGGAGACCCCCATTCCTATACCCTATAGCTTCAATTCCAAGAAACTTAAAAATCTAAAAAAGCCTAGTAAAATGAACAATAACTTTTGAGGGTTTTTATTATTATTTCATAGATGTAGTATTGTTATGGGTGCATACTACTCGTAAAATCACTCCAAAAAAAGAGATTCTGCAAAGATCTGGAACAAGTAGGGATGAAAATCATGAAATATGAAGAAAGCTCATCATTCCTTTTTTTTTTTTACAGAGCCTAGAATCTTGTGTGATTATGCTTTAAAAAAGAAGGGGAAAAAAACAAGGGAAAGAACAGGAAAACAGATCTTCATGCAAAGTAGAAGGTTCACTTGTTCTGACAACAGATCTAAGAAGAGATATATATATACAAACTCTGGTGAGCTGATGAGAAAAGAAAAGAAAAACCTATAGAGATATAGTTATAAAAGCAAGTATATACATATTTAAACAAGATCGAACTCAGAGCCATGGCTCGTTTTTGTTCATTAAAAGAAGACGATGAAAGAAAGAAGAAAAAAAGTCCTCAAACCTGAGGTATTGGTAACAGTTCCGGCGAAATGAGCTTTCGGAAAATCACGAATCCCAAAGAAAACCAAAGTGTTTATAGGAGGATAGGCCTAAAGCTTAGGTGAAATCATAAAAGAAAGGAGAGATGGGAGGGGAGACTCAAGTCTGTGAGTTGGACAAAGACGTTGGAATTGTAATTTTCCAAAAGGGTTAGAGAAGACGGTGTAGAATTAGCCAAGTGAAAAGAGCTTTGCAGGTGCAAATTCCCACCATTTTTAGCAATGGCGTTCCCATTCTTCTAATCCCTTATTTAAAGTCCCTGAACTCACTAACGTGCCCTTCTCGAATCTTTTCTACTGTCCCCATTAATGGACGCGCGGTGTTAGACTCAGTTTGATCCTTCCATCTTCTCTCTTCCATTTCTATGGAATTAGGGTTTGGTTTGTTTTTGGTGCCAAACACGCATTCCTTAACTACCGTACCCACACTCTCCCACTACGATAAATAGTTAACACCATCGTGTTTTATGGTTTTCATTAAGGTAGTCTTTATCGTATTAATGGAGGTATCAACTTAGTTCTTGAATTTCTGACTGTTTTAATGCACCATGTAATATTTTTAAATATTTATATTCTATATATGGATATTGGTAATGATGTGCTTCTAATTATTTTGGATTTGTAATTTTTATTATATTATATTTTTAAGTTTATTATACCCAATATAAGGATGTCTTCACTAAAAAAAACCCCTTATAAGGATTTCTTTTGTTTTAAAAAAATGATAAAGTAGGTTTCCAATTAAAAAAAATTCATTTTGGATTACGGTCAAAATATTTTATAGTTATTTTTATGTATATTACTTAAATATTTTGATTTTCATATAGATGCGAGTCTGGCAAGGCAATTACAACCGCAGGTATGGAGGACCCAGCATGTCGAGAGCAAGAAGATCGTTCATATCAGGAGGAATACTATCACAAATGTGAAAGTCACCATCAATACCACCATGGACACACTAATAGAAAAGTTTATTTCTATTTTGACCCATGAATTTAAATAAAATATAAAATTGACTCTTAATTTTTTTTTATTCTCTCTTTTTTTCCTCGTAACCTTAAAAAAGTCTCACTTTCTCTTCATAAGAACCCTAGTTACCAGGCTCTCATTGTCGTCGTTGTCACTGTAGTCACAATTTGATAAGCTTTAATCGTACTGGTTTAACAACGCATGGTGACGGCAATAGCAATGAAGACGACGGGAGTCTAACGACTAGGGCTTGTATGGAGAGAAAGTGAGACTCTTTTAAGATAACGAGGAAAAAAATGAGATTGAGAATAAAAAAAATACTCCTCTTCATTCCCAACCTCAGATGGTTTAGTGTTTTCTACTTCATCAAGACCCTAGAAGGAAAATCGATCGATTTATACTTATCATCTATCATTTTTCTTATTTCGTGGTTATTTCATAAACACTATAACCCATAAGTTCATCTTTATAAGATGTCACATGAGATATATTGATCATGTATCGACTCTAAATTCACCAAGACATTATATATCGCAGATACACTACTGCCAACATCAAGTGATTCTTTATCATGCTGATGAAGCTTCTTGACTTGTTTATTTCTTGATAATATTCCATAAATTAACCCAATAACCATAGAAAACTAATAGAAAGTCAATTGACGTCTTACTTAAATGTTGTCAATTGAAAACAAAATTTAAAAAGAAAACAATCGCAAAATACCAAAGTAGGGGAGAATGGCGATGACCACCTATACACTCATAATACTTTTAAATACATTTGATAATCCAAAATAAAAACTGTTTAACTTATTTTTATGAAGGTATAACTTATATTTTTTTTATAAAAAATATTCAATTCTTTAAGCGATCGATGAAGAAACTTTCAACACTTGATTGAGTGGAAAGAGTAAACGAAAGGCCTTGATATAGTTCCATCTTAGTATACTTAACCCACAACAAAATTAATATACATCCACCGTATAATTTGTGTAGATTGGTGTAATTCAGTTCGGTAGATTTTAAATTTAATTTCGTAAAAATAAAGCATGTAAATTTCTAATTAATAGACTAATGGTGTAGGATTTGACATATAAAAACCTAAGTCTACCTAATTTAGTTAATGCGTGAATAACCAGTTGTTGACCATGAAGTCATAACAATGCTTAAGTTTTGAATAATTGCAAGTCTCGTTTCCAATTATAAATCTAAAACCGGTCTAACCGTGTAAACTGATTTCGGCTCAATTGTTTTTTCTACCAGAAACAATGCATGCGTTTTTTAAATATTAAAAAAACTATATATATATATATATATGACCTGCTCATCAAGTCTTTGTGGGCGAAAATTCAAAACCAGACCTTGTTGAAACAAACAATCGTGAAGACTTTGTCAAACCTCTAACCTAACTTTTTCAATAAATAAATAAATAAAATAATTATATAAACTCTCTCTTTTACAATGAAAATTATAACTGTGGGACAAAAGAAGGTTCCTTTGATCTCGAATCTTAATTTATTATAATTAATTTATAGTTATGCTTTATACATTTTTTTTTTGATAAGTAAGAATTTTATTATCCAAATAGCAAAAGCTACAAATACAATCAGAGTTCAATACAAAACATTTACAATACAAAAATCAGTGGTCATCAATACCCTAATGTTGGTAGAGGGTAAGATTCACATTATCTACTCTATTGAATTTCCTGCCATTAAGTTGAAGACAAACAATAGATTTGATATTCTTTAGAAGTTCATTAACAGGTCTAGTTCAGCCTTGGTACAATCTTTTGTTCCTTTCTTCCCAGAGCAAGTAAACCAATGCATTTAAAGTAATCTTCATTACAGTAGATAACAATGTTTTTCCTTTCCAATTTGAGCTTGCCATTTCCAAGAATTCTTCCCAAAGGTAGCCTGTAAAATGCAAACCAGAAAAAGAGAAGATGTGTTCCCATAGAGAAACAACAGTAGGGCATGATAAGAAAAGGTGATCCCTAGTTTCCACATCAGAGTTACATAAAAGACAAGAGCAGTCATTAGTAAGACCGATTCGATGGAGATGATCCTTAGTGGGTAGTCTGTCAAGTAGAGCCATCCAGGTTATCATACTATGTTTTGGAATGTGCAGGGAAAACCAAACGAGTTTATGCCAAGGGACCTTCTGATTTTTCGAACGAATGGAGCCCCATATCGAGCTTGCATTGATAGGACCCGGATGAAGGAAATTTTGCACCTCTGATCTCAATTTAAGAAGTCTTCTGAGACACCAACTTGTGTTGGGCTTAGTTTCAATTGACCAGAAATCTTTGTTCTTAAAAACATAGTTGTGAAGCCAAGCTACCCAAAGTGAGCCTTCACCAGTATGCTTTATACATTACTAGTTGGAGGGATTTATTCTTTAATTTAAAATATACAATTTTATTATATATTTAAATTAAAATGTTGAATTCATATATTTAATGAATTAAATGATAATATATAGGTAATTTTACTCTTTTAACATTATTAAAAATTATTATTATTATTATTATTAAATTTAAATAAGAATATTATTTTATCAATGAATAATAATCAATACCAACCGATCCAAATTTCAAATTTAAATAATAATTTTCTCTTCACAATATTGGTAGGTAAGCCAACCTAATAGAATACACCTTTTGCTTCTGATAACAAATCGGGAGGAAATAAAGTACATGGGAATGAATTGACAAAAAACTAAGCTGTTTACTGTACAAAATTTGTATGCTCAGTGGAAGATTGTGTAGTGGACCGTGAGAAATCATGGGGAATCAAACAGGCTGTTAATGCCTTCTCTAAGCTATTTACAATCTCAGTCGTTGAAGGCCTGTCTCGGCCTTCCAGTCTCACACAATCGGCCGCTAAATAGCCGACATACGCAACTGCCTCGATCTCAAAAGGTGTTGGTGGCGGAACTCTCGGGTCCAGAACCCTGTGAATTTCTTCTCGAAGAACATATGGAACCACAAAATCGACCACATTTCTATGCGCCCCATTTTCGTTCCGATGGATCGCCCTGTATCCGGATAACAATTCGAGCAAAACTACGCCAAAACTGTAAACATCACTCTTCGTGGTCAGTTGTTGGAGCCTGTAATACTCGGGATCCATGTATCCAACTGTGCCTGCTGCACGAAGTGAAAGGTGTGATTCATCGTCTCCGGGACCCATCAATGATAATCCGAAATCAGATACTTTTGCAGTCCAGTTTGTATCGAGAAGAATGTTGGCAGACTTGATATCACGGTGTATGATCTGAGGAACCGCATATTCGTGCAGGTATTGGATCCCTCTTGCTGTGTCTGATGCGATCTTGAGCCGTATAGCCCATGACATTGACAGCGAGTTTTCAAACTTGTGGAGATGGTCATGGAGTGTGCCATTGTTCATGTATTCATAGATAAGTATACGTTCATTCGAGTCCTCGCAAAATCCCAAGAGCTGGACAAGGTTTTTGTGGTGAACACGGGATAAATACTCGAGCTCGTTCACGAAGGCATCGTCTTTATCTTCTTGAAGCCTGGTGCCGACTGCATATGATGAAACGCTAGTAATTTCGGCTCGTTTGATAGCTACTTCACGCCCATCGTCCAATGTACCATGATAGACTGAACCAAAACTACCCGTACCAATCTTATGATCATCGGAGAAATTGTTGGTGGCCTGAACCAGGGCTTCAAAGGAAAACTCCTCCAAGCGACCCGTGGTTCCCATGCTGGTTAATTGGCTCAGTCGCTTCTCGAGGACTGCTGGTGGGCTGAGGAGTTCGATTCGAACCCGAACCATCATTGGCAGGGGCACCGGTCTCATCCAGCCGACCTGAATCATGGACACGACACCCTCTATCTTTGCAATATCTGAAGACAAAGAAACCAACGAGTAGCAAGGAAAGAGAGGATCCAACACAACCAACAACTAGAAAAGCTATCAATCTGCCATTAAAACCACTGTTCGAGGATCTGTTTTCAGGTTGGGGTGAGGGAGCAGATGGAATGTCTGCCACCGGACAAGCTTGACAAATTGACCAACCATTGCGGCAAAGCAAGCCCGAACCTGGCAATGAACCACATCGACATACATTCCTACATGGACCTGGGAAAACCTCAGAGAATACCATGGGATTGGAATCGAAATTACGGTCACCCCAACAAAACAGAGAATAATTCGTTGTTGAAACTCCACAAAAAACATTGGTTTTTGCTTTGATTGTAATGAAATCAAGAGTTTCCAATTTCCGTGGCAACCTGAAACTGTCCATCCCCCAACAAACAACTG